ATGAGCACCTTGAGCTATTGGCTCGTGGTGCTGCTGTACCTCGTGCAGGTGGGTGCTGGGGGGATGGGGGGAAGTGGCACGCAGGGGAGGTGCTACTGTGTGGCGCAGGTAGGTGCAGGGTGTGTCCCCGTCGCATTGGCTTCGCTCGGAAGCAACATGCAGTGCTCGCAAGTCGCGCCGAGCGTGTGGGACTGCTTCGGCCAGACCACACTGACTGAGGCTGACCTCAACAGCGTCGGGTTTACAGCTAGCGTGGGGTCGTATGCATTGAAATTGACGTATCTGGATTCGAACAGGCAGCTCGTGGTGGCCGCTGCGAGATCGGCCCTCGCGAAAGCAAAGCCGACTTTGAAGAGGGAGCAGGTGTTCGGCACGTTTCTTTGCTGTAGAACAGATGTTCTTTGGCCTGACAGATGACCCGTTATTACCCAGTTCACCGATTTCGATCACGTGAACATGTTTTACAAAATGAGTGCGTGGTCGACTAACTTTTGAATTGGTCGTTGCAGGTAAGCCTGAGCTGCTGGTTGGGGTTCCTGCTGGAAGGTTCCAGGCAGGGATCAACGGCGATAAGCTCAAAGGAGGCGCCATGTTCGCTGTCTCTTCCAATGAGTATTTTTCTACAAAAACCGAAAGACGATCCTAGAAAATGAGCTTTGCGAGTGAATCAGCCCGTGTTCAATACCCGTCTCCTTCCTTCTCCCTCCTCCCTGCTTGTACCTCCTTCCTCCCTCTGCCCTTGTCCCTCCTCCCTCCTCCCTCCTCCTCCTGCCGCCTCCCTCCCCTCCATGAACAGCGAGTACAAGCTCTACGTGACCATCGTGCTGCTCTACCGGGGCACCCTGAAGCCAGCAGCAACGCTCGCCGTCGTCAACGCCACGTCAGCTCAAACCACCAAGATCCTGCTGGACTGCACGTGGACGCAGCCCAGGCCCAGCGTGCAGCTGTGCGAGTGGCTCAATGACCTCCCTGTTACTGCCACCCCCACCCCCACACCTCCTGCTGACTCTGCCCCTACCTCCGCGCCTGACTCTTCTCCCACCTCTGCTCCTGATTCTGCTCCTAACGTTACTCCTAACACTGCTCCAAACTCTGCTTCTGACTCTTCTCCTAACTCTCCTGATTCTGCTCCTGACTCCCCTTTGGATGCGGCCAAGAGCATGCGTGCGGTGGCCTTTCCAGGCTCGCTCACGGTGGTGGCCCTGCCAGTCATGAACATAGTGGTCAAGGCGGTGTACAAGATGCAGGTGGGGTCGGAAGGGGGGGATTCTGCTGAAGCCGTGCTGCACTATGCGCAGTGAAGAACACGCGTGTTTTTAGTCGACTCAACAGTCATGAACATACCGTAGTTGTGAACGCGGTTTATAAGGTGCAGGTGGAATCAGAAGAGGGGGACTCGACCAAGGCCATTCTGCACGATCCCATGTAAACACGTGTGCAGGAGGGGGGTCAGGAAAGCCGCTGCTTTCGTTAGCACTAGGGCTGCATTGTTTGTACTCACCAAGAACTGCTGCATTAGTGGCAGTAAATAAAATAGGGGGTTGCTGCTTCCTCTTCTCCGAACGATGCTTGCACTGCCACTGGGGTTTCTATCCCGGAGATTATGGTACCGTACAAGGAAAAGTGTTGATATCTCTTTCCATGGATAGTGTCAAAACTGAGATGATATCCCCACCTTATAAGGCTCCAGTTGCAGAGGTTGTATTTGGGTCCCACAATAATGCTTTCGTTCTTCTTTAAACTGAAGTGACACATGTGGAGTGGATCTTATTGGCAGTGGCAATCATGACAATCTGTACCGTATGTGCATAGATGTACGATATTTGAGGATATTGAACAAGCAGGCATGCAGACCCTCAGCTTTAGAGCACCAACATGCAGGCTCATCCCGATGAAGCTACAGTACTAGTAGCGAGGTATTTGTGAGAAGGAGTATCCCGGGGCTTGTCTCCACGAGTAGTATGCAATGCGGCTCTCGTAGAAGCCTGCAACATTGGCAAGGCAAAGGAAGGAACGAGGAATGAATGATGCTAGTTATATCGAGTGAAGGAAGGAGTCAGGCGCAGATTAGCAGACACATCAACAGAGAGTTGGGTTGTAAAGACGGCTCTGCAGTGGCTGGCAGAACGGCACACAGAATCCGTTTGTCACTGAAAGGGTGACATCCAGAGGTGATGCATGCATTCAGAGGTGATGCATGCATTCAGAGGTGATGCCTGTACGTAACTGCTTCAGATAATGCTGATGCAGTGACTGAATCACAATTTGAGTCGCCTTTGGGAACTATCAACGTGTCTCAGATGTGAATGGGACAGAGTGGGGATAATGTAGAGTGAAAGGCCAACGACATGATACGCGGAGTGGGAGAAAGGGATGGAGTGGAAGTGGAATCGGGGGTAATGCTGAGATCAAAATTTCTGATGATTGCGTGCATGGACAGCGTGAGGAAGGGTCACCGGGCATGAGCGTGAGGAAGGTCACCGGGCATGAGCGTGAGGAAGGCGATGGCGAGGCACGTCCACTTCTGCTGCGCGCGCCGGCCTCCACCTGCCCCGTCTGCATGAGGTAGAACGTTGCTAGCGACGCGCACCCCGGAACAGCAGGAACAACGCGAGCAGCACCGACCGCTTCGGGACGCGTCTGTGGATATCAGGACCGGCGAAGCGGATATCCGCATCGTTGGAGCCCTCGCGCTCTTCCCGCGGTCGACGGAGGAGCGGCGGATGCGTTTGCGGCGAAGTCGGGAGCAGCGTCGGAGTCTGACGTCGGGACACGCGCATACCTACGTGGGGCTGGGAGGCCATCTGGCAGATATTAAAGCCCGCTCCTACAGTGGCAGATTTTCCAAAAATACTGGCTTAAAAAGTTGTAAGCTAGCTTTAGCGAGAGAGTTTCCGTGGATTTTGGCTGGGCGAAGACGTAACAGGCCACGACGGGAGAACGGTGAGTAAGGAAGGTTGAAACTGCACGTGGGGGGAAATGCGCGTAGAGAAGGGGGAAAATGCGCGGAGGGAGGGGGGGGAACTACGGGAGGGAAGGGCGGGAACTGCGCGGAGGGAGGGGGGGAACTACGGGGAGGGAAGGGCGGAACTGCGCGGAGGGAAGGGGGGGGACTGCGCGGAGGGAAGGGGGGGAACTGCGCGGAGGGAATGGTTTGAACTGGGCGGAGGGTATAACAGTGTAGGGAAAGGGGAGAGGCGAGAGGCGGAGAGGGACGGGAGAGGGACCGAGGGAAGAGAGAGAAGGAAGGGACGGGAGGGACGGAAGCAACGGGAACTATAGAAGCGACGAGAGCTTTGGGTATGACGGGAGCTATGGGCGCGACGAGAGCTTGGGGGAGCCAGGAGTGATGGGAAGGAAAGGCGTGATGAGAGGGCTGGGAGGAAGTCGTGACAGTCCGTGAATGAGGGCTGCGAGGATCGAGAGGGGATGGGACCTGGGTGGCGCGGTACAATGTTATTGAAGAGCTGTTCAAGAATGGGTCACCTTGAACAATCTCGCGGTCACAAAACTTCAGTTCGGTTCCCTGTGGCGATCCATGCTCACGAATTCGGCGTGTGATCCCGACCCTCAGCTGGTGTGACATGTGTGACGCGTCCTAATATAAAACCTCGAAATGAAACCTGTCCCTCTGCCTCCAGATTTGCGATGGGATGTGGGATGAACTTAGCAAAATGGCGTCGGCTAGTTTAGCTACACGTTCACAAAGCGCCGGATTTGCGGATGGGTGTCCCGGGAAAAGCTGATTATGGTTAGGCGAACAGCATCTCTTTCTTTACCTCGTGGTTGTGGTATTCCTCGTCGGCATCATGGAGTTCGCACTTTCGGTTTAGGGTTCCCGCTGCTCTGCTCAGTCATCGTCACCTTGACAACGCCACGAGCAGCACAGCGACTGACCCGCACCGCTAAATCCGCGAACGAAAGAACGATCCAACAGCTAGCAGCTTCACACGTGGACTATACCATTACCGTTGATTTTGCACGAACCTCTACAATCAGCATTTGACAAGCTGTTTCGTCCCACCTGCCGCACTGCTGCGTGCCAACTCAGCAGACACGTCGCAGCAGGATGACGCGGATAAGGGCAGCAGCATAGAGCGAAGAGAAGGTCAGGTTGTTCGATTTATGGCTGTTGGGGCAAGTGTGTACTTATCACCTTCCGTATCCGCCGAAAAGGCCAGGCTTAAATCAGGTACGCTGATTAAAGTCCTGGCAGTGAGGACAAAATCGGCGACGGGGGAAATGCAGGGAACGCCAGCGACAGCACCAAGCAATGTTGCAACTGACGCAGCTGTCGCTCCTGGGGTGGATGCCTTACACCCAGCATCCGAGACCTAATCGTCGACTCCTGTCGTGAACTCCCAACTCGAGAGCTTACCTTCCCCTGCTCCAGTCTCTGCTCCAGTCTCTGCTCCAGCTCCGTCCCGCCTCGCTGCGCCTGCACCTGCCGCCGCACCTTCCGCCTCCCCCTCCTGCCTCTGCCGTGGGCAACGACACAAGAGCAGACAACCGCACTACTGCGTCTGCCACTACCACAGGCACTAGCAGTGGTACCAATGGTACCAGTGGTAAAGGCAGCGGACCCCGCAGCAGCAGCAGCAGCAGCAGCAGCAGCAGCAGCAGCAGCAGCAGGCAGATGGTACACGTGGAGCACGTGCCGCTGGCCCGGCCGCACGTGGTGCACTATGTGGATGTGCACCTGCCGTGGTCGCACTCCCTCTGCGCCTGCTGCCTCTCCCGTATGCTCCGCCCCGCCCCGCCCATCACCTTCCGCATCTCAAGCCTGGCCTCGCTGCGCAAGCACCTGCAGCAGCCCGTGGTGCCCACCATGCCGCCCTTCCGCCTCGCCAACAAGCCCACGCCGCCCATCCTCGCCTACTCCGCCACCGTCCCGCTCTCCGCCCCTCCTCGCCGTTTTCCAGGTAATACCAGCGGCGCCTCTACTGGCGCAGCAGCGGCATCGTTGGCGCAGCAGTATCGATGGAAGGCGGACGCGGCGCCTGTGGTTGCAGCAAGGCCATGATGCTCGAATGGCTGGCTGAGCCACGCGTCGGCCTGCTACTGGACTTCCAGTAGATACGGCGGCAGATGGCAGAGATTATGCATGTCAATGAATACGCGGCGGCACGCAGAGAAGCTAGCGCCGCGCGGAGCCTGTCTGCTGGTTGTGCTGCTGCGCCTTTTCCTCGCGCCCTGTGGTGGTGCTGCTGGCAGTGCAGCCGGTGCTGGACGCTCTACCGCATGGCCGTGTCCATTGCTGCGTTCCTCGTGCTTGTTGCCAGGTTCCCGCGCTTCGTCACTCTCTGGCGCGCGCACCTGCGCTTCCCTGAGATGGCCTTTTCCGTATTGGCGTTTCAGTTCGGAGCGGGGCAGCAGGTGCAGGGGCGACTGCGTGGCGTCGCTGCTGCTGCAGGTGCTGGGAGTGAAGGGCAAACAGCAGCTGGAGACTAGCTTTGCTGCCCGCATGCTGCCGCTGCTGCCGGGGGGAGGGGCGCGCATGGGGAGGCGGGAGGGGAAGGAGCGAGCCGGGGGGAGGGAAGAGAGGGGAAGGAGTGGAGGGATGGGTTAGGAGGGTTGAGTGGGAGGAGTAATGTGCGGCGCGTGGGGGAGATTGCCGCCCAGGAGGGCTGGCAGGCAAGCAGTACCCGCTGCTGCTGCTCGCAGTGCTCCAAGGGGCGAGAGCACAGAGGGAAGAGAAATGAAGGGGCCTTGGAAGCCGAAGCCGGCAAGCAGCGGTGGCATGGTGATATCTGGTGCCAGACCCCACCGAGTTTGCCCTCAAGTGCGCCACTCTCTTCTGCCGGCCGCAGTTTGCTGTGAGAGCTTCTCTCTCTTCTCCGACTGTGCCGGCAGCCGCGACAAGGAGAGGGTAGAGGACGCTGCTGTGGAGGAGGCACGGAACCGGCTGCTGCGGAGAAGGGGAGTGTGGAGGGAAGTGGAGTGCAGGATAGAGGGAAGCGAGCAGTGGATTCAGACGCAACCAGCATCAGCTCCTGCTGCTCCTGCTGGTGCTGGGTCTGGTGCTGCAGCCAGTGGGTCTGGTGCTGCAAGCGGCGCCGGCCTTGTCCCGGTGAACAGTAACGGGGTGGTGGCACTGTTCACGTACCGAGTCACCTGCCTGCTGTGATGGGTGCGACTCTACGGGTTCAAGTCAACCCCGCCGACGCCTGCACCCAGCACTACATGAAAGATCCAGGCCCTTCTCTTCCCCACCTAATCCACGACCTCCTCCGAACCTGATGTTTCAGGTTCGGCGCCGTGTCAAAGCCTGCAGGTGCGCCAGGCCTGGAAGGCTCGGCAACGACGGCTGGAAGGAGTTTCCGGAGGGGGACAGGGCGGCAGTGGCGGCGAATTTGAAAGATCCTGGGGAGTTTATTGGACTCAAGACCTTCCAGGTGGGGGCATTTCATGGCGGTGAGTTGGACAGCGAGGAGATGAAGAAGGAGTACAACGTGAGGGAGCTCACATGCCATACCCAGGCCCCTCCCTCGCTGGCTCGCCCAATTTCATAGGCACTCTGCGCAACAACTCCAGCGGCCCCTTCTTCCCCACACTGGGTCACCGCGTGGAGGAGTTTCTGAGAAGGTTCGCCCCTGCAAGGCTGGCAAGGGAGTGGCAGGAATGGTCCTCTGGCCCGGGCTATCACCTCCTGGGCTAGCTGCATGGACCTGAAGGATCGAACCTGGACTCCTCTGGCTCTGGGGCCGTTCGCAGAGGGCAAGATCAAGCCCATCCTACGGTCCAGAACCGAGGTGGAGATGATTGTAGAGATGATCGCAGGCGTCCTTTACCCCGCGTCGGCCTGCGACCGCTGTCGGTACTGCATCAGTGGGTACCAGGATGCAGTCACTTTCTCCTCACTCGCCGCAAACTTCGCCTACCGCCCTCGTCCGCGCTGCTGCAGTGCATCCTCTCGCTCTTCCCGCCCCGATCGGCGCGCTTCAGAAGCTTCTTGGAATCCCTGCACGTGGCCGCCCATAACCCTGCGGTGGTCCCCAGACTCGCTTGTGGCCGCCGCTGCTGGAAGGCGTGATGGAGGAGCTTCGGGTGTTGGTTTCTGTTTTGTGGCATTAAGCTCATTGTGGAGGAGAGGGGGGTAACGAGCATTCTCCAGCCTGTCGGGCAGGACGGGGTAGGGCAGGAGGAGAGGGTGGGGCGGCAGGGAAGGTGGGAGGGGATCGAGGAGTGGAGGATGTGGGAGGAAGTGGACAGCTGGCGGCGGGCTGCTGTTATGGCGTGGCCTGCTGTGGAGGGTCTTGGTGAGGCGGGGGTGGCTGGTGGTGAGGGGGATGGGTTGGAGGAGTGCTGTGCGGCCATGAAGCGCGTGCTACAGGAGGAGAAGGTCATGGCGGAGGCACGTAGGCAAGCGGTGAGTGACTCTGTCGTTGCCGCTGGTGATGCTAGGGGTGGAGATTCGTATGGGGGAGGGGAAGGCCCAGAAGGGGGAGAGAGTGGGGAGGGGGCGGGAGGGGAATGCAGGGGCGTGGTACCTGGAGCCGTGGCCGGGGGGGGGTGAATTCCTCTGGCGTGTTTGAGGGAGATGCTGCTGGGGGAGACCAGCTACTGCTGCCAGGCTCAGGTGGATGCTGTTGCTGCCAGTGCTGCTGCTGCTGCTGCTGCCTCTGATCAGGGGCGCAGTGGCAAGGGAGGGGCTGGCGTGTGTGTTCGTGGGCAGCAGTGTGTCGGGGTGGAAGGGGCGGGTTGCAGCTCAAGCTATGTTCGCGGTGCGGCAAGGCTGCCTACTGCAGCAGGGAGTGCCAGAAGGCCACTGGCCGTTGCACAAGATCACTTGCCAGCCCAAGGCCAAGAAGAGGGGAAGAGTCCTTCATAGATGGGATAATGTGGAGATGACTTTTGAGTTGGCTTAAAAGAAGAAACATAACCTTGTTACAATGTCACACGGCGTCTTTTCTACAAGAAGAAACATTATTGCATGGAGGTTACCTAAACGAGTAGGCAACTACCATATCCAATTTGTGCTCATATCAAAATCCTCTGGATCAGGGGCCTCAGAAGTCAGCGAAAAAAAGGTTGATTTAGGTGAAAAAGGCTGAGATTTCAGACCCTTTGTTAGAAGTGAGGCTGATTTTCAGCAATTTGTTGAAAAGAAACAGGAATTTTTAATAGATTTGTAGTGTAAAATGGCATAAAATGGCTGATTTGCCTGATTATCAGGAATACGTTTGTACCAACTCTGTTTTTTCATCCTAGGCCAAACAAATCTGAGGCCCTGCTCTGGATATACCACCCAAGGGTCTTACGGTATGCTATTGTAAATTCGTTGAAACAATGGGGGTGGTTCTTATCAACAGATAGAAATTTAATAGCAACCCGGGTAAAAATCGCCTGGCATGTTCTCTGAAAGGAGTTCCCAACCCTAAATTCAATACTGGAGTTGGGGGTTTACTTGGAGCTGAATCAGCCATGGCGGATTCGTCGCCCGCAGGCGACGGCCCTGTTTCCAACGCTGCCTCGAAGCCAGTCGCCCTTTGCTGACGCTTGACTTCTTACGACGAGCTTCAGCTGCTCCCGCGTTAGTCCTCGCCATCAGTTCGGGCCGTTTGTTCTCCCTTCCTCGGGCCCCGAGGCACCTACCATCTGAGACGCAGAGCGAGTGGTTTCGACGCATGTCGCCGCTGCCGCATGCACCTCCTGTCGCTGCCGCATCAACTCCTGTCGCTACCGCATCAACTCGTGCCGCTTCCGAACCCACACGGAACCGTCATCCTAGTCGCTTGCCGGATCTACTCCGCGTCGGCCCACGTCTCAAAAGGGTATCAAAGTGAATTACCTCCAGGCGAAGATCTAGTGGGGTGCCAGTCAGGCTACGCCAACGTCTGTTGTAGGGAACTCCTTCCCGAAGGCCCAACATCGTAATTCAAGGGGAAAGCAGTTGAGGCTGCTTCTGAAACGGAACCTGCCCGAACATAGTCGAGGAGAAATATCAGGTAGCCTTATTTATGTACAACAAACAGTGGTCTGGCGACTACCCGTGGCTTGTTTTTGTGTCAGACGAAAGCCGGGTTCCTGTCAATGAAGTGCACGGTCTGCATTGCGCACGGTGGTGTGGGCACGAACTTCGGCGCCAAAGGAGAAGGGGCGACCGAGTGTGCAGACCCAGGCAACGCGGAAGCATCAGCGCACAAGGAAGCACCGCCGAGCTCTGCGTAGACAGAGGACAGCCGAGGCAGCGCTCAAGGCTAACCGCCGGATCGACGACAACCCGTAGGTGAAAAGACCTTGAGAAGGAGCGCCTGATCGGGCTCTTTGAGACCGCACTCTTCATCGCTAAGTCCGATGCCCCGATCGAGATGTACGTGGACCTCGTCCGACATCTGGCGCAGCGTGGCACACCCGGCTTCCCAAAGAGCGGTTATGGTGCCTACTACACGACGTAAGTACAGTGCTCTAGTACATATCTGTGCAGAGTGTCAACTATCTCAGTCTATCACTAACCACATGTGTTGATGCCCGTGCAGGTACGGCTTCGAAGAGATTACTGCCGCAATAGCGACATACCTTTGTGCGCGCCAGAGAGAGTTCATTGACTCGAGTCCATACATTGGTCTGAGCTGCGACGAGAGTACAGACCGCGTCAAAGTGAAGCACATGATTTTGTTCGTAACAATTCTGCGTGAGCATGCCGTCGTCACCGAGTTTCTAGCTAACCTCTCCATTGAGAAGTGTGATGCATCATCTCTTCATGCTGTGCTCAAAGGATTCCTAGACAGTATCAGTCTGCCGCTGGAGAAGGTGGCGGGTATCAGCACCGATGGGGCTCCTATAATGATCGGCAATGACACTGGCCTCGTTGGGCGTCTTCGACTGCACATCCCGCACGTGGTGGCCTCTCACTCTGCATCGCACACAGGTAAGATGTTGCTGTTTGGTGTCGTTGCTGTTTGATATGTGGAACTTGATATGTTGCTGTTTGAGTTCTAACCGACCGACTGTGCTATTGTCCCTATGGCAGGGAAGCGCTAGCTGCAAAGGATGCGGCTAAGGCACTACCAGAGCTTGGCATTACGACGCTGTTATCCGCTCAGTGGCGGCAGATCTAACAACTCCAACCTCAAGTTCAAGGAGCTGCAAGAAGACTTCACTCATACCAACCTCGAGGTCCAGGGGATCCATTCCGTCCGCTGGTTGAGTCACTGGCGACGCAATCGCACGATTCGTCGGCGTTTTGCCTGCTGTCATCGTTCTCCTCGAGGAGTCTGACGCGACGATGTACCTCCTAGTCACATCGTTCAAATATCATTTCTTCCTGTTCTTCCTGGCATATGTGCACACGGCACTCAACGCGCTCAACCTGCTATTCCAGGAACGTCATGTGAGTTGTTGTGCTACGTTCTGCTCCCTTCTATTACTGGTCAACCTGCTATTCAACCTACGTTCTTCTCCCTTCTACTTATCTTTTGTTTCCATGTACCCTTTCTCCCTCTACCAACAGGTTGACCTCACTGCAGTGCACTCCCTGTTATAGTCACAATAGGCTTGAATGTGCCTAAAACGAAAGATAGAGAGCACAGACGGATTTCTGCACAGCGGCTTCAAACGTTGATAGCGTTCTGCTCACAGCTGCAAATGACTTGATTCAAATTGGATCTGGAGCGTCTTTACGTCGTCTACAATTAGCAATTTAGATTGCACGATTTGATAAAGAATTGACGACACAGCGTCAGTTTGAACGAACGGTACTATGGCAGCCACTATGGAACACAAGATAGGAAGAGTTACGAGTTGGGAATGACTCCCAGCTCCTATAAACCCCAAGAGCCGAGGTACAGTGATGTGGAACAGTGCCACACTGTCCCCAACCACGAAGGGTCTCGAAACTACCCTTCACTAGGGCCTACACCAAGTGAAATGTTACACTACACAAAGTAATGTAACTATCTTCAATATCTTGAGGTGTACCCTTTTGGCAAGCTTCGAAATCACTTGAGGCTTGACACCAAAGCTCGGGCTCTTCATCACAAACTCATCCTTGAGTTCTTGATGGGTCTGCTGCACACACCTGCGACACGCCGAACGTTCGACACAGGACAAAATAGAAACCGCGCACGACAAAATAGAAACCGCGCGCGAGACACAAACGACCGCGTAACACGCGTCTAGCGATAACTCGCTATTGACTCGACACACACACTCGACATCATGACTCAACATTCACACACAATTATAAGCATGAAATATATATTATCCCATGCCCTCATACCATTCCATACACACACACATTCACGCACACGGACAACAAGCCGAGTGCAAACCGTAGGGTTGCACCAACAAAGTCCCCCTCGGATTGTTGGCCTTAGGATATGTTGCTCTCTCAGTTCAGAGCCATCCCAGCCAGCTTGCAACACTTCCAATGCTGCTGCTCCACCAGCCTCTTGGTCATCATGTCAGCCGGCTGCCCCGTGGTCCTTCACGTAGCGCAACTCAACTTCACCCGCGGTTACCATGCTCCTCGTCCAATGCCACTTCACCCTCATGTGCTTCGTGAGTCCATGCAACACAGGGTTCTTAGCAAGAGCAATGGCACCCTGGCTGTCACAGTACAGTGGGGTAGGTCCTTGCTGCTCCTCCCCCAATTCAGCCAACCAAACGCCGCTGCCACACAATCTCCCGTACGGCACGGAAGAGTGCCATGTACTCGGACTCCACCGAGCTCAAAGCTTGGTCAACCTGCTTTCTTGCTCTCCCAAGCAGTTGGGCCTCCACCAACACAAGCATATGAAGCCTCCCACACTTGTCATGTCCTCTGGTTCTGATGCATAGTGAAGCATCCGAGTAGGCGGTGAGGAACATAACGCCCGGGTTCAACACCATCCGCGCCCTTTTGGCGCCTTTGTGCCGCCGCCGAGTATTGCAGCCCAACGGTCGGTGTTTGGCCAAGATACTTGGCCACCCTCATTCCAGCTGCTACCTGCTCCTCATTAGGGCATTGCACAACCTAGCCAGCTGCCCGGTAGCAAACGCGACGTCCGGTCGGGTGTTTACCGCCGCATACATGAGGCTGCCCACCAACGAGTGAAATCGGCGCCTCTCCTCTTCACCAACGCTCTCCTCCTCTGGTCCCTTCACACACTTGAACCCAGAGGGAAAGGGTGTAGCCACATGGCCTTCACTCTGCCCAAAGTTGGCAGCCAATGCCTCCAGGTACTTTCGTTGATGCACCCGCATGCACCGCTTCTCCACATCTCGTTCGATGTGGAGCCCAAGGTAGAAGCTCACGTCACCAAGGGCCTTGCACTTGAACTTGTCTTGAAGCTTCAGCATCACCTCCTTCACAAGGTCAGAAGAGGGTGAGAAAATGAGGATGTCATCCACATAAACCACCATGAAACTCCTCTGCTTCCCCCTCGCCAAGCATGAACAAGGAGTGATCGGCCGTTGAGGGAGTGAAGCCGATCCCCTCCAACACTTCGCGCAGCTTCATGTACCATTGCCTAGGGGCCTGCTTCAGCCCATAGAGGGCCTTCTTCAGCTTCCACACTCTGCCACTACCATCATCAAACCCTTCTGGCTGCGCCATAAAAATCTCCTCCTCAAGGATGCCGTTAAGGAATGCCGTTACGATGTCCATTTGCTTTACTACCCATCCTTTGATGGCGGCTCCCGCGAATAGGGTTCGCAGCGTCGTCGGCTTCACCACAGGGGCAAACAGCTCCTTGAAGTCCACCTTCTCCTTCTGCTGGTACCCCTTGACTACAAGCCTAGACTTGTAGCGCTCGATCTTGCCGTCGGCATCCGACTTGATTTTGAAGAGCCACTTGGACGTTATCGCCGTACGCCCCTCCGGTAGCTCCACCAATTCAAACGTGTCATTCTCCTCGATGCTCTTCAGCTCACTCTCCATGGCCTT